TGTTCGCTCTTGGGACTGAGAGGAACCAGACATCAATCCAGGCTCTCCAAATCTTTCTGAACAAGTCAGATTTCAGACTTGTAAGTAAACAGCCAGGCAAGGCGTGTTAGTTTTTATCTTTGTTTTCTCAACTTGTAAATGTACCTTTTTGCTAGAGTGTTTATCTCTGTTGGCTGTAACTTTGAACCTAAGGCTAGAGGGGATTCCTCTGGGCTCTTTCAGTTTGATTACCCTGTAAAGTTAGTTTCCATCCTGATTTTACAGAGATGATTTTTACCTTTTTCTTTAATTAAAAGCCTTCTTTTTAAGAACCTGATGGCTTTTTCCTTGTTTTTAAGATCCAAGGGGTTTGGATCTGTATTCACCAGGGAATTGGTGAAGAGTCTCTCAAGGCTACCCAGGGAAGGGAATTAGCATTTGGGGAGTGGTGGCAGCGGACCAGATCTAAGCTGGTAGTTAAGCTTAGAAGTTTTCATGCAGGCCTCCACATTTGTACCCTAAAGTTCAAAGTGGGGAAGCAGCCTTGACAAGAGCCATTGGCCATTATCTTTGAAAACTCATGGCGATTGGGGTGGTCCCAGATGACTGGAAAAAGGCTAATGTAGTGCCCATCTTTAAAATAGGGAAGAATGAGGATCCGGGGAACTACAGGCCAGTCAGCCTCACCTCAGTCCCTGGAAAAATCATGGAGCAGGTCCTCAAGGAATCAATTCTGAAGCACTTAGAGGAGAGGAAAGTGATCAGGAACAGTCAGCGTGGATTCACCAAGGGCAAATCATGCCTGACTAACCTAATTGCCTTCTATGACAAGATAATTGCGTATGTGGATGACGGGAAAGCAGTGGATGTGTTATTCCTTGACTTTAGCAAAGCTTTTGATACGGTCTCCCACAGTATTCTTGCCACCAAGTTAAAGTATGGGCTGGATGAATGGACTATAAGGTGGATAGAAAGCTGGCTAGACCGTCAGGCTCAACGGGTAGTGATCAACGGTTCCATGTCTAGTTGGCAGCCGGTTTCAAGTGGAGTGCCCCAGGGGTTGGTCCTGGGGCCAGTTTGGTTCAATACTTTCATTAATGATCTGGAGGATGGCGTGGACTGCACTCTCAGCAAGTTTGCAGATGACACTAAACTGGGAGGAGTGGTAGATACGCCGGAGGGTGGGAATAGGATACAGAGGGACCTAGACAAATTAGAGGATTGGGCCAAAAGAAACCTGATGAGGTTCAACAAGGACAAGTGCAGAGTCCTGCACTTAGGATGGAAGAATCCCATGCACTGTTACAGACTATGGACTGAATGGCTAGGCAGCAGTTCTGCAGAAAAGGACCTAGGGGTTACAGTGGACGAGAAGCTGGATACGAGTCCACAGTGTGCCCTTGTTGCCAAGAAGGCTAACGGCATTTTGGGCTGTACATTGCCAGCAGATGGAGGGATGTGATCATTCCCCTCTACTCGACATTGGTGAGGCCTCATCTGGAGTACTGTGTCCAGTTTTGGGCCCCACACTACAAGAAGGATGTGGAAAAATTGGAAGAGGCCAATTAAGTAAGAGAAAAAAAACTTTTGAAGTGATAATCAAGATAGCCCAGTACAGACAGTTTGATAAGAAGTGTGAGAAGTGTCTCTACGCAAAAGAATTAATG